CCACTCTGGCTTTCTTTTGATGTCTGCATGATAGATGGTTCTCCATTCCCTTACTTTCAATCTGCAGGTGTCTTTAGATCTCAAATGAGTATCTTGTAGGTAGCATATAGATGCTTGTTTTGTTTGTTTGTTTTGACACAGAGAGAGTGCAAGTGGAGGAGGGGCAGAGAGAGAAGGAGGCACAGAATTTGAAGCAGGCTCTAGGCTCTGAGCTGTTGGCATAGAGCCGGATGCAGGGCTCAGACTCATTGATCATGAGATCATGACCTGAAGTCAGACGCTTAACTGACTGAGCTACCCAGGTCCCCCTAGATGGGTCTTGTTTTCTTACCCATTCCGATATCCTGTGTCTTTTGGTTAGAGCATTTAGTCTATTTACATTCAGAGAAATTTGTCATTGTTTCTGGGGATATTTCTGTTTCTTTCTAGTCTTTGTCACTTTTGGTCTTTCCCAAAGAATTCACTTTTAATATTTTTTGCAGGGCTGGTTTAGTGGTCAGTAATCCTTTAGTTTTTGTCTGGGAAATTCTTTATTTCTCCTTCTATTCTGAATAATAGCCTTGCTAGACAGAATATTCTTGGCTGCAGATTTTTCCCAATCAGCACATTGAATATATCATGCTATTCTCTTCTAGTCTGCCAAGTTTTGTGGAGAGACCTGCTGCTAACCTTATTTGTCTTCCCTTGTAAGTTAGTGACTTCCTTTGTCTTGCTGAATTTAGAATTTTTCCTTATCTCTATATTTTGCAAATTTAACTACACCATGTCTTGATTTTGATGTGAGTTCTTTGTGCCTTCTGGATTTGGATGTCCGTTTTCCTCCCCAGCTTAGGGAAGTTTTCAGCTATTATTGCCTCAAATAAACTTTCTGCCCCTTTTCTTCTTCTCCTGGGACTCCTATGATATGAATATTATTACGTTGGATCGAGTTACTGAGTTCCCGGAGTCTACTCTCAAGATCTATACTTCTTCTTTCTTTATTTTGTTCAGTTTCATTTTTTCTCCATAATTTTATCTTCTATATCACTTATTCATTCTTGTGCTTCTTCCATCCTTGTGTTCATTACACCTACATGGTTTCAAATCTCAGTTACAGCTGAAATCCTGACTAGGATCTCAAGTTCTTTGTTGCTTTAAATTCAGCATCAGGCATATTATTTATGTCTGCTTCAGTTAGATCCCTGGCCATGACCTCTTTTTATTCTTTCTTTTAGGATGAATTCCGCTATCTTAGAATTTTGTCTAGGTCTCTGTCTTCTTCTCTGTGTTAGGAAAGCCTGTGTCCTCCTCCTGGGCCAGCAGTACCTGCAGAGCACAAGGAGGCGGGACTTGGTGTAAGCAGGTTAGGTAGCCAGTGTTGATGCTGTGCTGTTTACTGAAGTTGGTTTATGCTGAGGGGTGGGGTAGGGAAATGGCACCAACCAGTTCTTTTGCCCCTGAATTTGCTGCTCTCAGGGATGCCCTCCCAGAAGAGTGAACAAAGGCGCCCTAGGTTTTTTTCAGATCGCTATTCTTACACTGTCTATGTCTGGGTTGCTTGTCTCCCTGGAGTAGTGCAGTGTACTTTGGGCTCTGTCCAAAGCTGGCTGATGTTTATTTTCTTTAAAAAATTTTTTAAATGTTTATTTTTGAGAGAGAGTGGGGGAGGGGCAGAGAGAGAGGAGAAGACAGAGAACCTCAAGTAGACTCTGCACTGTCAGCACAGAGCCCAGTGTGGGGCTTGAACTCACAAACCAGGAGATCATGACCTGAGCCAAAACCAAGAGTTGGATGCTTAACCGACTAAGCCACCCATGTGCCCCACAAGCTTGCTGACTTTTAAAATTATAAGTTTCTGGGGCGCCTGGGTGGCGCAGTCGGTTAAGCGTCTGACTTCAGCCAGGTCACGATCTCGCGGTCCGGGAGTTCGAGCCCCGCATCGGGCTCTGGGCTGATGGCTCAGAGCCTGGAGCCTGTTTCCGATCCTGTGTCTCCCTCTCTCTCTGCCCCTCCCCCGTTCATGCTCTGTCTCTCTCTGTCCCAAAAATAAATAAATAAACGTTGAAAAAAAATTTTTAAAAATAAAATTATAAGTTTCAGGGACCTGGTGTGGCAGGGACCTGCACTGGTCCTATGGGAAGGGTCTTACCATGCTGGGATTGATGCAGGTTTGACTCAGAAAGGCAGCCATACCAGATCACAGGGGCATGGCATTTGGAGCAAGCAGGCTAAACAGCCAGTGTCCATTTAACCACCCCTCAACCGGTGTCTCTGTGCCTATGCTGAGGGGTGAGGGAAATGGCACCTGTGGGCTCTTCTGTCCCTTGAGAGGTGACTCTGCGAATGTCACCTCTCACAGATGCACTCCATAAAGAGGAAAGTCTCTCCCTCTGCCCCTTTGGTGATCCTGAGATCATACAGTTAGCCCCAGGATTGTTTGCCTGCCTTCTCTCTAGGAGTAGGGCAGTGGTCTCAGGTCTCTATCCCAGACAAGCATGCCAACCTCTGAAACTCCAGTCTTTGAGCCCTGCTGGTCCGCTCCTCTCATTTTCCCAGACAATGGTTTTGGAGAAGTGTTCTCCTTGTCCATATCCCTGTGTGATCAATCTTCTCTCACCTTTCTCTGCAACCGAGGCTCCCTTTCCTCCATGGCACCCGCCATCTGTTTCTCCCCCAAACCACATCTCCACCCTTCCTAACTTCCTCAGTGTGGCCTCGCCTCTCCCTCTAGTTATGTGCGGTTTGTTCTGTCAGTCCCCAGATTGATCTCTTAGGCATTCAGAGTGATTTGATGCTATCTACCTGCATTAGAGGGATGAGGCAAGCCTGGAGTCCTCCTCCTATGTTGCTGTATTAGCTCCATCCTTCGATTGCTACCAGTTTAAGGAATTTTCTTAGTATTTTCTTATAAGGTGCTTCTCTTAGGAAAAAAAATTCTTAGATTTTTGTTATTTGGAAATGCGTTCATTTTGCCTTCACTGTTGGAAGTTAGCTTTCTGGATGCAGATTCTTTATTGGAAGCTGCTCATTCTCTCAGCACTCCACAAATGTTATTCCATTCCCTTTGACCTCTGCTGTCTCTGCTGAGGATCAGCACTTGTCTTATTGTGGTTCCCTTTTAGGTGACAGGTTTTTCTCTTGCTGCTTTCATGATTCCTCCTCAGGCCTAACTTCCACAATTTTTACTACGATATATCTGCTCGTGGATCTATTTGCAGTTTTACTCTTTGGAATCAGTCCATTGAGCGTCTAGATGCGTATTTGATTTTCAATAACTTTGGATCATTTTTAGCCATTATTAAAAATTTTTTTAATATTTATTTTTGAGAGAGAGAGAGTATGAGCAGGGGAGGGCAGAGAGAGAGGGAGACACAGAATCCAAAACAGGCTCCAGGCTGTCAGCACAGAGCCCGACATGGGGCTCAAACTCATGAATGGCGAGATCATGACCTGAGCCAAAGTCAGATGCTCAACTGTCCTTGTATGGCCATCAAATGTATGTTGGTACACTAGGCAGTACCCCACATTGCTCCCACATTTTTACTCTCTCTGTTCTTTGGATTGTATAACCAATCAGTCTGTCTGCAAGTTCACTAATTATCCTGATCGTTTTAAACTACCATTAGCCCTTGTAGTGAATTACTTTATAACCCAGGGAGTTGATGGTTCTCTGTGTCAGGTCTCCAACACCAACCTCAGATATGAGGACTCACTATGAGGACTCAGGGAAATATTCCACAGAAGGACTTATTTCAGAAGAGCTGTTATGCACAGTGCTGCAGTTTATTACTGGGAAAGGGTCTGTATTGAAATTAGTGAATGGAAAAGGAACATGGGGCAGAATCCAGGAGATATCAGGCTCAAGGTCCAACTCATCCCCTCTCAATGAAATTGTACAGATAGAGCTTAATGTGTGACAACATTTGTGAAATATTTGTAGTCGGTGAACCTTGGAGGCCTTGGATTTTATTTGAGGATTGGTCCTGGGCATGCCCATGTTTCTGGTCTTAGCTTCTTAGCATCCAGTTCCTCTAGAAGTCTGATACAGTGTGCCCCAAGGCCCCAGGTGTACAAAAGGAGGCATGCATCAGAAATCACACTGTTAAATACTTGGAGACTAAAGAACATCCTACTAAAGAATGTATGGGCTGACCAAAAAGTTAAAGAGGAAATTAAAAAGTACATGGAAACCAATGAAAATGATAACACCATAAACCAAAACCTCTGGGACACAGCAAAGGCAGTCATAAGAGGGAAGTATATAGCAATCCAGGCCTTCCTAAAGAAGGAAGAAAGGTCTCAGATGCACAACCTAACCTTACGCCTTAAGGAGCTGTAAAAAGAACAGCAAATAAAACCCCAAACCAGCAGAAGGCCGGAAATGATTACAGAAGAAATCAGTGCAATCGAAACCAAAAAAACAAAAACAAAAAAACGGATTAATGAAACCAGAAGCTGGTTCTTTGAAAGAATTAACAAAATTGATAAACCACTAGCCAGTTTGATCAAAAAGAAAAAGGAAAGGACCCAAATAAATAAAATCAAGAATGAAAGAGGAGAGATCACAACCAACACAGCAGAAATAAAAATAATACAATATTATGAGCAATTATACGCCAATAAAATGGGTAATCTGGAAGAAATGGACAAATTCCTAGAAACATATACACTACTAAAACTGAAACAGGAAGAAATAGAAAATTTGAATAGACCCATAACCAGTAAAGAAATTGAATTAGTAATCAAAAATCTGCCAAAAAACAAGAGTCCAGGGCCAGATGGCTTTCACCAAACATTTAAGGAAGAGTTAACACCTATTCTCTTGAAGCTGTTCCAAAAAGTAGAAATGGAAGGAAAACTTCCAAACTCTTTCTATGAAGCCAGCATTACCTTGATTCCAAAAGCAGACAAAGACCCCACTAAAAAGGAGAACTAGAGACCAATTTCCCTGATGAACATGGATGCAAAAATCCTCAAAATTAGCCAACCGGATCCAACAATACATTAAGAAAACTATTCACCATGACTGTTGCAGGGAGTATGGCCGGAGTCGCAAAAGAAGAGTCTGCAAGCAAAATGGTTAAGTGAAGGTCCTCATACTCGAGTCGGAATGAGGCCCGACTCCAGAATGAAGCCCCCTTTTACTAGGGAAATTGCTAAAGGCTACGTGCATAAAGTCAGCTCAGCAAGTGTATTAATCAACTTAATAGTTTTGTTTTTCAAGGTTGAATTTCTAGATGATTGTTCTTTATGAAGCCAGGAAGGGTCGGGAGTGAAGGAGGATCCGGCCCTGGACAATGCTAATGCCTCAAGGCATTCCTTAAGAGCAGCAGCCACGTTCAGCTGTGAAAACATGTCCTAAGGCCTTGCACCTGCTCCAGCCTTTCCCGTTTGAAGTCTTTTCCTTTGATGTTTTTCTCCTACATCTTCCACATCTTCCCCTTTTTCTTTCATTTGGCAAAGCTGAATTACAAAGACAGAGGCTTGTGAGGCATATTCTTGGCTTCGTCATTGGCCTCTTCTCCAGACTAGGTATATCCAAATAAGACAAAGATTAATATAAGAATACCAATCACAGAAAAGCTTAAGGGTTTTGTATAATTCTTTGGATTCAATTCTGAGATTCAATTAGTTATCTCAGCTAGAGAGGGAGTACCAGAAAACATCTCAAGTTTATTTTTGAATGTATCATAAATGTCCTTTTGCAATTGGGCTATATCCGTGGAGGTATTACCTTAAGAAGGTGTCGATGCACAAGGTCCCATGATATCTTGGACTGCTTATATACATGGAGAGTGACACAAAAGGTGGTTACGTTCCAATCACATTGAAGCTTTACCTGTTGTTGTAAACTAATCAGTTGATCTCCTAGAAAAAGAATGGCTTGTTGCAAGTCAGATAATTGGCTCTCTAGTTGGCTATCAATCAACCGTTGGCTGTTCCATAGTCTTTCTGAATTTTGATGCCAGTGTTGTACAAAGTGGGTAGTTTGTACAGTCTGGTACAGCGCAAAACCAGCTGTAGCTGCAATAGCTATAATCCCAAGTACAGCAGTTACCAATAAAGCTACAAATTGTCAGGTGCGATGTAATACACGTTTCAATATTTCATCTATGAGAAACATTTCAGGGGAGTGTTGCCAAGACCAATCCATAATTACAGGCATCCAAACCCGATTTCATGCCTTAAGGATATATAAGCTTTGTTTCTCCTGTTTAAAGGGATAAAATTAAGTATAAAAAGAGCAATCATGGCAAGTAAGAAGATTGTTTTCAGGGTCCCAATGAGGCATACCTAACATAAACACAAAAGGAAGTCTGACACACGCTTGAATTTTATGAGTCTCATTTAATCTAAAAGAGAGGGAGAATTTACTTGAGACATTAAGCAGCCTTTCCAAGAGGACATGCCTAATGATCCAGTACCAATTTTCCAAAGCTCGGAATGAACTGGTCCATCAGGTAAACGTGGGCTGGGGGGGGCATCATCCCTCCTTCATGCCATACAGTGGGTTCAGATGTTATATCTGAAAGGATGTCGTCATGATATCGACACCATCAGAGCTCTTTTTGGAGTATTTGGTCTGAGCAGAGCCTATAGGGGCCCAATCAATGATGCTTCCTTTGGAAGTATTAAGAAGAACTCTACCAACTTCTCCTCTACAGAACTCCCAATTAATCCGTTCCTCGGGATTTATGGTTTTTCTTGACATCGAGGCAATTTAGGAGGGTAATTGTATGTAGTTTTTTGACTTCTCATGGAGACCCCTTGTAGTAAATACAGTATGGGGACATTAGTCCCATTGGGTATTTCTGCTATCCATGCCTATGAATGAAACACAGTGGTCACCTGTTCCAAAGCATATAGGTGGCCCCTCTGCACCTACAGAATATTCAGGGATTACTTTTCCTTCTGCTTCTGGTTTAAATGGACCTCTATTATCATAAGGTCAGGCAACCAGACTGAATCATTTACGTAAGCCTGGAAAGAGGGATCATCCTATGTAATTAATCTATTAAGAGGTGGATTTGGAATATAAGCCCAGTATGTGTGATTCTCTTTAGCACTCCCAGTTAAAGTAACAACCGACATCATGGCAATAAACACAGTAGAAGTCTTAAGTGTTCCCATTTTTTGGAGGATCTGTTCGGCTTCTTGAGTCATCTTCACTTGTCCCCATGTTGGAGGTTTGGCTTTCATTGTATTTTTGGTTCTTATTTCTACCTTCCCTATAAACTTGGGTTCCAGGCTTAATTCTTCCATATCTTCCTCCAGTGGTCGAAAATTGTCAAATCTTTTTCTCTTCATCCAACTGTTCATATCGTGGTTTTGATCGCCAGGCTGGAAGCCAGATATCTCTATCTGTGGATACAAGAGCAAATCCTTGACCCCACAATTTAACATATCCAGGCACCATTGGTTATTATCATTTTTCCAAAATATCGGTTATGAAAGGGGTCTGGCATTAAAGATTGTGTGAGGTTTTCCGGCTGCGGTGAACTCTTGTTCACCTCTTAAATCCAAAAAATTAAGTGTAAGTAATGTTTTCATTAACTGATTCTTTGGATTCAAGGCCATATCCCTGTTTTTGTTTTTGTAACATGGTTTTTAATGTATGATCAGTGTGTTCAATAATGGCTTGACCCTGTGGATTATAAGGAATGCCCCATTTTTGGCAAAACACAAGGAAAGTGTGAGAAGTATAAGCCGGGCCATTGTCAGTTTTAAGGTTCCGGGGGAGCCCCGTCGTGGCAAGCGCTTCTGAAAGATGCTGTATAACGTGGGCTGGTTTTTTCCCTGTCAAAGGTGTAGCCTGTATAAAACCGGAATATGTATCTACTGATACATGTACATATGCAAAGCGGCCGAATTGCAGAACATGAGTAACACCCATTTGCCATAAGTCATTAGGTTACTGACCTCCGGGATTAACCCCCTGGGAGTATGGAGGAATGACAATAGGCCCACAACTAGGGCAGTGTGTGATGATTTCTCTAGCTTGTTTAAGGGGAATAGAAAAGTGTTTACTTAGGCCTTTAGCATTAAAATGAGTAAGATTGTGAAAATCTTGTGCTGTAGGAACACGGGCTGTCAATAAGGAATCCGCTGTAGCATTTCCTTCTGCCAAGGGGCTGGGGAGGCCAGAATGAGATCATATGTGAGTAATGTATATAGGATGGCATTGGTGAAGATAGTATTGGACCTGAAGGAATAAGTCAGACAATTCTGAGCCATCTGAGTAAATATTAATGATTTCCAAATTTTCAATCACTTGCTTAGAATAGGCTGAATCCATTAAGATATTGATGGAGGAGGGAGCGTCTTTAAGCAATAGAATATGGCAAAGTGTTTAGCCTTTTGTACTGAGGCATACAGGGATTTTACACATTTAGAAGTAGGATCATAATATGCAGAATAGCCAGACTTGTTGGCATCCATGAAATAATTAGGTCCATTTACAGGTACTGATTGTACAACTCGAGGCATGATGAAGGAGGTGGTTTTGATAAATCCAATTAATTTGGATTTAGATAATGGTTGTCGATGGGACCTATATAATCTGCAACTCCAAGTTGCCATGAAATGCACTGTCGATATGCCATGGATATTTGTGTGCATGGGATAGAGGTACTATGATTGTCTCAGGGTCTTGGGCTGTTATTTCCCAAAGTCTCTCTCAACCCTTAAAAAATTTTTTTTTTCAACGTTTATTTATTTTTGGGACAGAGAGAGACAGAGCATGAACGGGGGAGGGGCAGAGAGAGAGGGAGACACAGAATCGGAAACAGGCTCCAGGCTCCGAGCCATCAGCCCAGAGCCCGACGCGGGGCTCGAACTGACGGACCGCGAGATCGTGACCTGGCTGAAGTCGGACGCTTAACCGACTGCGCCACCCAGGCGCCCCTCAACCCTTAAAAATTAACATTCCTATTTTGTCTAAATATGTAGATAATTTTTTAAGGGCTTTGTTGGCTAGAAATATCCATTCCATGATTCCATTAGCCTGCCAAAGCACTCCTGTAGGGGAATGGGGTGACGGTAAAATTAACAAAGAGACGGGTAGTGAGGGGTTAATTCGAGGAAGCTGACTGGAAGCAATTTTCTGCTCAATCCACTGTAATTCTTGGGATGCTTCCGGAATTTTCCAGGGCTATTTAAACTGGAATCCCCTTTAAGTAGATCAAAAAGATGAGTCAGTTGATAAGTAGGTATGCCCAGAGGAGGCCCTAGCCAATTAATGTCTCCTGATAACTTCGGGAAGTCATTTAAAGTATGCAAAGTATCTCTACGAATTTGAACATTTTGAAGCATTATTGAATTTTGTACTAATTTTTGACCTAAATGGAATAAGGGATCTTTAAGCTGAATTTTGTCTTCTGCAGTAATAAGGCCATATTCTGAGAGAGTTGTCTGAGCTGCTAAAAAGAGTGCATAGAAATCATATCATTCGGGTAAAGCTAATAGGATGCCATCCATGTAATGGATGGTCTTAGCACGAGGAAACTGAGATTGTAAATGTCGGAGAGGTTCTGCAACAAAGAGCTGACAAAGAGTGGGACTATTTAACATTCCTTGGGGTAAAACCTTCCATTGAAATCCGCTTATGGGCTCTTCATGATTAACCACAGGAACGGAGAATGCAAATCGCTCAGCTTCTTTAGGGCTTAAGGGAATGGAGAAGAAACAATCCTTAAGATCAATAACTACAATTTTCCAATCTCAAGGGATAACAACAGGCGTCGGAAGGCCAGGCTGTAGAGCCCCATTTGCTGTATGATTTTATTTATGGCTCAGAGATCACTCAGCATTCTCCGTTTCCCAGATTTTTTTTTTTTAAATAAGAAAACCTGGAGAATTCCAGGGACTAGTTGAGGGTTCAATATGTCCCGCTTCTAATTGTTCGGAAAATGAAGATTTTAAAGCTGCCAGTTTTTTCTTGAGAAAGCGGCCACTGCTCTATCCATATGGGCTCATCAATAAGCCATTTTAAAGGCAGCGCATATTCTTGTTCCCTGGCAGTGGCCGTTAGGGTAAATTTGGATATCCTAGCCCTCCGGTTTTATG